GGCTACCTAGCCCAGAGTTTGAATTACCTCATGAAGAGGTTAAGGACCAGGCATTTTAATATCGATGGGGCGAAGCAATTGAAGAGAAAATTGGGAATTGTGAATGAGAAAGCAAATCAAACAATGGGGAGTGATTGTAAAATAATTCCTAGGGTGTATGATGTGAAAGAAATATTTACTAAATTACCGCATCAAGAAATCCTGAAAGTTGTGGAATGGTTGTTGCGGTACTTTAAAGACCAGGGGCAACACTGGGAAAGTCTCATGGGGAAAGTGGGTGGAAATCGATACATTTGAATGAGCTGATGGCATTGACAAAGTTCCAATTGGACAATACATATTTCTATTCAATGAACCAACTACTCAAGCAAACGACCGGAATTCCTATGGGTGGACGAGAAAGCCCTCCGTTGGCAAACACACTGTGCATATTCGTTGGGCAACAATTCACGAAAGCACTGCGAACAGATGTGAGGTGCATCGAAGGGAATCGCTTCATTGATGACTTGCTTCTGATTGGGTGGTGTAGCAAAGGAGGTGAAGACGAGCTGAACGACGTTCTGGATAGAATTCTGGGTTGTTATCATCAAGACTTGGTTTTGGAAAGAACAGGCAGAAATTGTGGCCTGCTGGAGTTTCTGGAAACAAGATTGATAGTTACCGATACACCAGCTTGGATACGCAACATGCACAAGTTCAAAAACATTGAAGCTATTTGGAATGGACAAGTGGGCAGATATAAGATATTGAGAAGCTTTCACTCTTTTGCTCCAAAGATACAGAAGTTTGCGACTGTGGCAAATACGATTTGTCGGATCGTGGACAACGCAAACACTAAGTTTGTGACTTGGTGGAGCCTGCTCACCTTTGTGAAAGAACTCAGGGTGCTTGGCTACCCCTGGAAAGTTTTGAAGCAGGGATGAAAAGGATGGCAAAAAAAGAAGATTCGGTGTTCCGGAAAGATACGACCTAGAAAATGATAGACAGGGAAAGAAAAGGACAAAGTTGGGAGGAGGGTGAGGACTAGCAGCTAAAGAAAGCTTCGGTGGGAGACGAAGAAAGGCCGAAATGTTTTGAGCGGAGACGTGATACTAGTCAGCCCTAGCACATAAAGGGGGGTTAAAGTATGCCTGCAGGGCCTGGTGAACTCCCCGTGAAATTGTTTTGTTCTAGAAAGTGTAAAATTTTTAATTTTTAATTTTTAATTTTTAATTTTTAATTGTTCTTAGTTTTTTAACTTTTCGGACTATGGGTACTGGAAAAATGTAGGGAGCACGAGCGGCGGCCCTAGGAGCTGTTCGGACTTGCCTTGTAGGAAGCACGAGCGGCGGCCCTAGGAGCTGTTCGGACTTGCCTTGTAGGAAGCACGAGCGGCGGCCCTAGGAGCAGTTCGAACTTGCCTTGAGAAATTTTGTGCGAAACGGTAACCTAGAAACGGCGCCATGAGTAGCTTCAAGGTGGCAAGGAATAGGAGGTAGGATAAAAGAAGCAACTGGGAACTAATGTTCCTCTTTTACCTGAGCATTATTGGGCAGAAGGGTAGAGCACCGTAGTGTGACGCGGTGAAGGGAAGTGTTTCATACTGTGATTTGTAACGTCCAGCAACACTTATCATTTTGAATCCAGATCTAGGCTCTTATTATAGGACTCTAGGATGTGTCCAGATACCTTCAACTAGGACTAGAGGGTGAGCGATCCTATCCTAGGGAAGGGCTCAACTGTACCTGGTGGAGAATAAACTTTATTCCGGCGCTTGGGGGAAAAACATTGATAGCCTACAGATTCAAGGTGAAAGACCCTTGCAGTCCGGAACCTATCGTCTTCCCCCAAACATAATGCATATGTGTTGTAAACGAATATAACGCATAGGTTGCTTTCTATTCGAAGCCAAGGTGCATGTGTTCTATTCGAACAGCTGGTAGTATATTCGAATAGAAAGCGTATGCTCTCTATTCAAACAGCTGGTAGTATATTTGAATACAAAGCATGTGTTCTATTCGAATCATCAACTTTTTTTGAAAACTCGAATACAACACATATGCTTTATGTTCAGGGGAAGCCGGTAGGGAACGAAAGAAACTGTAAAGGAGGCTGCTTGGGGCCCAGGAGGGCCTCTAACTATTTCGGATCTTCCTGGGAAGGGCTCCGCATGCTTCAGATCTACATACGAGAGGCTCTATCTACTTCGGATCCTCCTAGGACGGACCAGTCTACTTTGGAGTTGCCTAGGGAGGCCTGGCGACTCCATATCTGCCTAGAAGAGGAGGAGAGACCGATCTTCTTCTTCTTCTTCTTCATCATGATCTTCTCCCCCATTCTCCTTCTTCTTCATCTCCTCCGTTGATCTATGCCATGTCGCCCTGCATCAGCCATTCATTGAAATCTGCTATCAGCCCCCCCCACCCGTGAGGGGTTAGCTCCCTGTCCATTTTTGCTGCTGTCCTTTTCCATTCTGCCCATATTTCTGCTCCATAGTTTCCTTGGCCTTTTCCCATGATTCCAGTGGTGTCTTTTTCTTCCCTATCATTTTCCTGCATCTGGCTCTCCAAATTTCTCATGAGCTTCGGAGTCCTCTTCCATGTGCTTTTCTTCACCTTCCCAACCTGACCAGGTATATTTATCTTTGTTGAGTTGCGCTTCATGTACAGGCAGGTTGTCTTGCGAGGCACAAGGCCTCGATACGCCCTACTGGGCCCTATTTTCAACACAGTCGGCCGCCCTAAGTGAAGGCAGGGTCGACCGAGGCCTACAAGCCATTTTGGGTCACCACGCAACTGGGAAAATTCAGGCAGTTGTGCAGTGCCAGTTGGTTGGAAGCGCCCAGGCCCAGGCTGCCCTTTTTCGTGTGTAGCTGGAGCAGGCCTTGGGTCGGATACACAACATGGACCAAACACAGGCTGAGGACAGTTGGGCGCTGGTAACCACCACAGGCCCTGGGCCTGTTTCCTCTGTACTGAGGCTCAGCCTCGCGGGGCCTACCGGAAGCTTCTGGGTCGGGGCCCAGTACCGCATTGCCGCACGCAGCAGCAGCAGGCCACTTCGGTACAGGGAAGGGCCTGCCCACGCATTGAACATTCGGCCACTGGCTGCATGCTGCGCAAGCGCTGCTGCGCTAACGCTGGCCAGCGCTCACGCGCTCATGGGCGAGCTGGAAGAAGCAGGCAGCCATAGCCGAGCTGCCTGCTGTATGCTGGATGGTGCGCATGGTGGTTCTTGGGTGCATGTGGCATCTGTGAGTTGGGGATCGAGGTTGTGAGTGATACGAGAGACATACCTGGTGCTTGAGGCGAACGACATTGGCCGACATCTGCTCGTACTTCGGGGAGTTGTTGACGTCATCAGCGACATTGTAGATAGGCTAGATAGGATCTGCCATCTGTAGTCTGGGTGCCGAGCGCCAGATAGGATATCGACATTGGTTCTTCGTTGATGATGATGAGACTATTCCAACATTGTCAATTATGAGTTTTTGCTGTGCTCTTATTTGGTGAAACTCGTGATGCAATTCTGCTGTTGGTTCGAGGTCACGACTATCTGGTCACATGTGTATGATGCTGTTTGATTTCTGAAGTTCGCTATCGCTCATTTTCCTTGCAATTTGGTATGGGAGCTGTGGTACGTTGCACTCATCTGGCGCTTGTCTTCTGCCTATGAGGTACATGCATGCGGTATGCTGGGCGAGCTACCGTAGGGAGTGTGTAGTGAGGAGGGCGAAGATAAGTAGGCGACCCAGGTGGAAAGGGGATCGCCAAGAAGGCTATGTGGTGAATATTGGGTGTTTGCAGTGTGATGAAAACTATCTGATGTGCGATTGATGCTGAGGTGGAACGGCAGTGTAATGCTGGTTGTGTCGAAGCAGCGATTGGTCATCACAATCTGCATCGGGTCATCTCGTGAGAATATCTATGGTTGGGGGCAGCTATTTTGAGGTACATTGCACCTAACCTTATCTACCCTCTTCGACACTTCTTACCGTGAGGATGTGTGTTCTGTCTTGAGAGTCCTCTCATGTGAGGAGTCGTGCGCGCTAAACCTTAAGAGTCGTCAGTGTTCACGTGGAGCATCTGGAAGGAGAGGGCGGTGCCAGCTGAAGGGCCCTGGACAAAGCACTGGGTCACGGTCACCATGCCAACCCACCGGGAGTAGAGCACGCATGCTTTGCTGCTTTGTCCTTCGTCTGCTCGCTGCGCTATAGAGGGGTTCTGAAGGGCATGCCAACCCTATGGGAAAGACGAGTACCGGACGTCTATAAATAAGTACCGTGGGGACCTTCCATTGGCTGTGATCGTCGTCCTGCTTGCGACGTTAAATAATTCCTAAGGACTTTAGGGGCCGTCCATAAAAAACGCCTCCTGATCAGCCAATTGGTCAGTGTAAGGCTCGCTGAACGCGAGGATAAAAATGGTGCAGGGTTGGCCAGCTCAGCAGGACTCGGGGCACAGGGGTGGGCCGTGTGCACACCTTTAGACACGCACTCTGTCCGGATTGCTCAAGGACGCTGCCGGCAAGAGACATTCAAGAAGAACTGAGGGAGGGGTAGATTCCAGGTGGGAAGTTTGGGAAAGATTCCACTCTGCAAACAGACCCAACAAACGATTCTGTTTTTATTTTGATTAGTTAGATGTACAACCATTAACATCTGACAGACAACATAGTTAGAACTGTTTTCTATTCATTGTGCTTTCTATTGGTGAACTAGTCAAAGTCAAGATAGTTTCGTTTGTAGGAATCCGAAGATTCCGAACTTACCTGTTGGACCCAAATGTATATACTCTGACACAGCCACCAATTAATTATTTTAATTATTATAAATCGGTCTGTGCACTATGCTGCAGTAGGCATCAAAGTGTGACCTAGTGCAGATTGTGTATAGTTCTCTAACTTATGAGCGACGGGGATACCACTAGTGAGGGCGACCGGATCTTGCGATCGGCTAGACGCCCGATTGCCCACGTGGCATTAGAACCCGAGGGTGATAGGTTATTGTTCCGCCAGCGTAGGGAGAGACAGCAGCAGCAGCGGAGAGCTAGGGCAGCAGAGGCCAGCTAGGCATTCGCAAGCGAAGCCGCAGCTTCAACAGTCATGGCAACTGCTGCGCAACAGAGTTCCCAGGCCAGCAGTTCAGGGACCGTAGGGTCAACAGCTGTGTAGACCCTGAGTCAGTCCACTGGCGTTATGGCAAGCCAGCCTATAGTGTTGACTCCCGATGAGGTCGCCATACAGCAGGCAGCACTGCAAGAGGCGCAGCTACAGAAGGCTCTAGGAAAGATAAAGGCGAAGAAAGAAAGAATGATGAGAAGAAGAGCAAGGATGCCGCGGAGACAAGCGGACGTTAGTGAGTTAGAGGGTATGGACCTGAAGCACATGGATGCAGATGTGAGGACGTTGCGGACAGTCCTGCTGGGTGTAGTAGAAATGCAGGACCACCATACGGCTCTCCTTCAGGACATTCAGCAGAGTCTGGTCGTTCTGGTTGGGCGAGCACAGGCAGGTCCATTGCCGTCCGGGCCCGGTGCCTGGCCCGTTGTACATCCTCCTCCTTTCGTCCCACCGGTGACTGGAGTATCCCCATATGTTTCTCCAGCATCAGGTCAAGCCGTTTCCCTAGGTATGCCGCTGACAAGAGGGTTCTCAACAGGTCCTAGTGTACAGATTCTTGTACAGACAGTGTACTGCCAACCTCCGTCGCAGGTTGCCGTGACTGGGCAGCCTGCTATCTCGCAGCCTGCACAGTCGCAGGGCACACAACCCCAACAGCAGCTAGTGCAGCAGCCTGTTCCCCAAGGTCCACAGCCTGGAGTGGGACAGGTACCGAGACAACAGTGGGTTCCAAAGACGGCCATCGCCTCTCCCAAACCATTTTCAAGGGACAAGAGGGGCGAAGACCTCGACACATGGTTGAGGTCAGTGCCTGTCTATGTCAAGTGTAAACTGACCTTGTCGCACGAGGAAGTGCTTGTGGCTGCCTCCTATTTAGAGGGGAGTGCAGCAAGATGGTTGAGTGGTTCAGTACAACTTCAGGGATACGGTCATGACTTCTGCGCTTGGGCGGTCAACCAGAAATTGGATGACTTCCTTAAGCTGATGAAAGACAGGTGGCATGATCCTCAGGAGGCTCAAAAAGTCACTGATGCGATCCTGACTCTGAACCATAAACAATTCAAGTCAGTCAGAGATGTCACAGACGCAGTAGAGCGTCTGATCTGTGTCTCTGGGGTGCGCTATAACCCCCAAGTTTTACTCACCTCCTACCAGAGATGTTTTCCTATACCTCTAAGGAATCAGTTGGCAGGTGAGGCCAACATCAATATGCACAACTTCCCCTCGTTCCGCAAGAAGGCCCTAGACCTAGAGGCAAAGATAGGGCATGGACAAACACCCACAACGGATGGTAGGAAAAAGTCACTGCCTCCTAACTGGAAGGCGAAGGGCCGCATTATGTTCGTCGACAACGATGGTTCTACCATCGAGTTGGAAGACGACTTCCAGGCGGGAGTGGGTTCAGAGGCGGGCAGCGTAGAAGCTTCAGGAGGTGGAGTAGTCGCTGCCTTGGTCCAAAAAGAAAGGTGACCGGTAGATGCCGTGGAGGTTCCCGGCCTAGGCGTGAAGTCGACCCAAATGCTCCTCCATGGGAGAAAGCGGGTCTAACTGAGGACGTGTGGAGAGACCAGTACACCCGACAGGCTTGTATCCGTTGTGGCCAATACGGCCATAATCAGTTCACGTGCCGTAACAAAAAGGTGACCGAGAAGATCCCGCCTACGATGGGGCGACGTTGGGATCCTCCGCTCCCGTAGGTAGCAATGTGGCCAGCAGTTCTGGCAGTGCTCCAGGAAACACCTCGGGCCAGTAGGGATAGTAGTTGTTCCTACTTGGGTCGAGGTGGTGGACACACCCTCACCATCTTGAGAGATGGCCCAAGCTACTGACTCCATCGTCGTCCCGCAAACACATTCGGACCCATCGAGCCTCTGTTCGATGAATGTGTTTGAGTCCTTAGAGGAGTGGTCTAGATCAAACCCGCTAGCTTCGTGGACAGCATTGGCTAAAGCCCCTAAGGGTGAGATGTTCGTCAGCAAGGTAATCATCGACAGCCGCAAGGCCGGGGCCTATTATGACACTTGCTCGACATGGAATTTTATCAGTCGCGCGTGCATTGAGAGGTTACACTTACAGGGGCAAATGCAACACCTAAGTCGACCTGTGGAGTCGACCTGTGCCAACAAACAGCGCATGGTAGTCAACGACTACCTTCAGGACGTTGAGTGTCTTTTCCCGTACGCGGGAGGGGAACTAAGACATCGCGTCTCGTTCCTAGTCAGTGATGATCTCCCAATGGACATCCTGTTAGGTGTGTACTCTCTTTCGGTTGCACAGCCCCAGTTTGACTGGGACAGAAAAGTGGTCAAACACACACTGCCCGGTGGGGGGACCGCCAGATTACGTAAGTTTAAGGCTAGTAGTCTGATTGAGTCCTATGGTTGCATGTGTGCGGCCGCATTCTACAATTATTATAAGCAAAATTTGGAGGAGGGTATGTATTTAGTTTATGTCTCTGCAGCAGACGAGCCGGTGAAAATGTCGCCGGAGATAGAGGGAGTAGTCGCTAAGTACCGTGATCAAAGGGGTTGTTGAGAGGGAGGTCGTCCATGCGATAGAAATCATCCCAGCGTCTAGCATCCCGAAGGGTAGGATTTATCGGATGTCTCCAGGCGAGCTTGACGAGCTTCGCCGACAGCTCAAGGAACTCATAGAGAAGGGTTGGATCCGGCCGAGTGTCTCCCCTTATGGATCTCCAGTCTTATTTGTACCAAAGAAGGGGGGGACCTTGATGATGTGCATTGACTATAGGGGCCTCAATGCCATCACTGTTAAGAATCGAGAGCCCCTACCGCGCATCGATGACTTGTTAGATAGAGTGCAAGGGTGCCGGTACTTCAGTAAGATAGATCTGAAGTCCGGGTACGATCAGATTGCAATACGGTGACTTGTTAGATAGAGTGCAAGGGTGCCGGTACTTCAGTAAGATAGATCTGAAGTCCGGGTACGATCAGATTGCAATACGGTCCGAGGATTGCAATACGGCCCGAGGATCAACACAAAACTGCTTTTCAGACCCGGTACGGTCTATACGAGTTTGTGGTGATGCCTTTCAGCCTTTGCAATGCTCCTGGCACCTTTCCGCACGCTATGAATTTCATGACTACTTGGATAAGTTTGTCATCATGTACCTCGATGACATACTTATTTTTAGTAGGACTGTCGAGGAGCATGTTGCGCACTTCGATAAAGTCCTCAGTTTCCTGCGGCAGCACAAGTTCAAGATCAACGGGGAAAAATGCGAGTTTGGTCGCACCCGGATCTTATACTTGGGTCATGAGATTTTCGCGGAGGGTTTGAAGCCCGATGACGCGAAGGTGGCCAGCATTCCTGACTGGCCACGTCCTCAGTCTGTGCCTGAGATAAGATCCTTCTTAGGGATGACCGGCTACTATCGTAATTTTGTGAAGAACTATAGTATAGTTGTCGCCCCTTTGACAATCTGACTCGCCTTGACACCCCATGGGAGTGGACAAACAGGCGTGAGGCTGCTTTCAGACATTTGAAGCATGCCTTGACACATCATGAGGTCTTGAAGCTACCCGATCCTAACAAGCCGTTTATAGTCACCACGGATGCTAGCCAATATGGCATAGGCGCCGTGCTCGCGCAGCAGCAGAGGCCAAAGTTGAGGCCTGTCGAGTACATGTCCAAAAATATTTCCTCTCAAAAGTCGGCTAAGTCCACCTACGAGAAGGAACTCTATGCGATTTTTAAAGCGATGACCCATTGGAGGCACTATCTCCTTGGGATGTTTTTCTACGTCAGGACTGATCATCAGACCTTGAAGTGGATGAGAACCCAGCCTGTGCTCTCCGATGCGTTGAAACGCTGGATTGAAGTCATTGAGCAGTATGACTTCGAGCCCAGTACATCAAAGGTGAGTACAATAAAGTTGCTGATGCGCCGTCGCGTAGGCCTGATTTCTCCGGTGCGCAGATCACTGAGTTTGGGCTTGCGAACGATGTCACTCGTTCTTTGGTGGAAGCCTATCGCGAGGATCCGTTTATGGCTGAGATCATACGCAGACTCGAGGCGAAGGACAAGGCGACTTCTGTCGAGTTTGAGTTGGTCAACGGCCTGCTGTTCCTTCAGAAGGTCGGGAATAAGCGTTTGTGTGTCCCTAACAGAGAGTCTTTGCGTAGTTTATTTTTAGGCGAATGTCATGATGCCACCGGACATTTTGGTTTCAAGAAGACTGCAGCCAACCTGTTGCAGCGATTTTGGTGGCCCACGATGATGAGAGATGCCAAACTGTATGTCGAGACTTGTCAAGTTTGTCAACGTGACAAGCCCCGGACACAGGCTCCTCTTGGGTTGCTCAAACCCCTGCCCATTCCGGAAAGGCCTGGTGAAAGCCTGTCCATGGATTTCATGGATACATTAGTCACCAACAAGAGTGGCATGAGGTACATCTACGTCATCGTGGACAGATTTAGCAAGTATGCTAGATTAGTAGCTATGCTGGAAACAACAAAGACTGAGTACATTATCAGGCTATTTAAGGAGAACTGGGTTAGAGACTTTGGCCTGCCGAAGTCTATAATCAGCGACAGGGATGTCTGATTCACCGTGAACTGTGGAAGGCCGCAGCTGTCGAGCAAGGAACGCAGCTGCAGATGACATTTGGAAACCATCCGGAGGCAAATGGACAGGCAAAGCAGATGAACCGCGTTGTTCAACACTTGTTGAGGCACTACATTAAGCCTAATCAAGTGGACTGTGATGAGAAGCTTGCTCTCATCGCCAGCCTGTACAACAACGCAGTTCATAGCGCCACGGGAGTAAGTCCTAACAGCCTACTAGTAACGTTCAAACCTTGACTTCCCCTTGACTTTTTGCTCCCTGAGAACCAGCCCGCTGCTGCTCCAGGCACTTTGGAATTTGCCTATAAATATGAGAGTCATATGCAGCAGGCGGTAGAACACATGCACAAAGCACAGGCGGCGATGATCGAATCTGAGAACAAGCACCGCCGCCCATCCATGTTTCAAGTAGGGGACAGAGTCTGGGTCAAGGCTTCTGAACTGGGACAGGAGCACGGGATCTTCCGTAAGCTCATGCCACAGTACTTTGGGCCATGGGAGGTTCTGGATGTAATCGGGAAAGAACCAGACGGACCCTCATATGTCATTCGACTCCCTGGACACCTTCGTACCTTCCCTGTTTTCCACGCCTCCAAGCTTGCACCTTCCAAAGAAACTGATCAATTTCCCTCACGACGCTCAATGCTGCCCCCAACCATGGATGGAGAGGTCGACATCGACGACATCGTGGACCACAGGGAAATGCCGGTTCCAAGACCGACACGCAGGGGTCGTCCTCTAAAACCGAAGCTGCAGTACCGAGTTCGGTTCAGACATCACACTGATCCAAAGGAGGACAGATGGTTCACAAGGGAGGAACTCATGCAGACCGCTCCACAGGTTGTCGTCCACTACGAGAAGTTGCTGCAGAAAGGAAAGCACCAGATTGAATGAACTTCTCAGAGGACTGGCGAAGTATGGAGGAGGGAATGCGAGGCACAAGGCCTCGATATGCCCTACTGGGCCCTATTTTCAACACAGTCGGCCGCCCTAAGTGAAGGCAGGCTCGACCGAGGCCTACAGGCCATTTTGGGGTCACCACGCAACTGGGAAAATTCAGGCAGTTGTGCAGCGCCAGTTGGTTGGAAGCGTGCAGGCCCAGGCTGCCCTTTTTCGTGTGTAACTGGGGCAGGCCCTGGGTCAGATACACAACATGGACCGAACACAGGCTGAGGGCAGTTGGGTGCTGGTAACCACCACAGGCCCTGGGCCTGTTTCCTCTGTACTGAGGCTCAGCCTCGCGGGGCCTACCGAAAGCTTCTGGGCCGGGGCTCAGTACCGCATTGCTGCACGCAGCAGCAGCAGGCCACTTCGATATAGGGAAGGGCCTGCCCATGCATTGAACATTCGGCCACTGGCTGCATGCTGCGCAAGCGCTGCTGCGCTAATGCTGGCCAGCGCTCACGCGCTCATGGGCGAGCTGGAAGAAGCAGGCAGCCATAGCCGAGCTGCCTGCTGTATGCTGGATTGGGCGCATGGTGGTTCTTGGGTGCATGTGGCATCTGTGAGTTGGGGATCGAGGTTGTGAGTGATACGAGAGACATACCTGGTGCTTGAGGCGAACGGCATTGGCCGAGATCTGCTCGTACTTCGGGGAGTTGTTGACGTCATCAGCGGCATTGTAGATAGGCTAGATAGGATCTGCCATCTGTAGTCTGGGCACCGAGCGCCAGATAGGATATCGACATTGGTTCTTCGTTGATGATGATGAGACTATTCCAGCATTGTCAATTATGAGCTTTTGCTGTGCTCTTATTTGGTGAAAACCGTGAAACTCGTGATGCAATTCTGCTATTGGTTCGAGGTCACGACTATCTGGACACGTGTGTATGATGCTGTTTGATTTTTTTTTTTTTTTTTTTTTATGAGCTTTTGCTGTGCTCTTATTTGGTGAAAACCGTGAAACTCGTGATGCAATTCTGCTATTGGTTCGAGGTCACGACTATCTGGACACGTGTGTATGATGCTGTTT